TGGGAAAAAGAATATGTTTCAAGTGCCAGAAGGAAGGACATTTCGCAAGGGAGTGTCCGATGACCGGTTCGAATACCCAAGCGTTAGGCCAGAAGACCCCTGCGGCAGCTGCAGCTCAAGGTGGAACCCAGAGGGCGCGCGTCTTCGCTCTCACCAAGGGGGATGTTGAGCATGCCGAGGCGGTGGTCACAGGTACCTTCTCTTTGTGAGTCTTGAGTTGTGTGTATATGTTTGTGCTTTATTGCATTCGTGTTACTTTTGCAGGGACTATTTTAGTGCTTAGTATGCCTGCTTACGCATTATTTGACTCTGGATCTAGTCATTCTTTGATTGCTTCTACCTTTGTTCGACATGCGGGCCTAGACCTAGAATCGTTAGGCTTTTTGTTGTCGGTATCCACCCCGTCAGGATCTGTGTTGGTCACTAGTCAAGTGGTGAAAGGAGGCCAGCTCTCTTTCGATGGTCAGACCTTTGAGGTAAAGTTAATTAAACTGGATATGCAGGATTTCGATGTGATACTAGGCAAGGATTGGTTAGCTGCTAATCGGGCTAATATTAATTGCTCGAAGAAGGAAGTTAGTTTTCGCTTGCCCTACGGACAAAACTTTACCTTTAAAGGAGTTAAGGCCGGGGTCCCAATGGTGGTGTCGGCATTGAAGGCCAGCTATCTTCTCCAGCGTGGTGCTTAGGCCTATATGGCTAGCGTTGTGGATGCAAGGAAGGTTGTGCCAAGCATTGAAGCGGTTCATGTGGTTAATGAGTTCACTGACGTGTTCCCTGAGGACCTCCCCGGCTTGCCTCCACTTTGCGAAGTGGACTTTTGTATAGAGTTGCTGCCAGGGACAGCCCCCATCTCGAAAGCACCATATCAAATGGCTCTGGCAGAGTTGAAAGAGCTGAAGTTACAGTTAGAAGAATTACTCGACAAGGGTTTCTTCCGCCCAAGCGTGTCTCCTTGGGGTGCGCCCGTGCTTTTTGTAAAGAAGAAAGACGGTTCTATGCGACTCTATATAGACTACAGGGAACTGAACAAAGTGACGGTTAAGAATAAGTATCCTCTACCACGCATTGATGACCTTTTTGATCAGCTTCAGGGAGCGAAAGTGTTCTCGAAGATAGACTTGCGTTCGGGGTACCACCAGTTAAGGTTAAAGGAGGCCGACATTCCAAGGACAGCGTTCAGAATGAGGTATGGGCACTATGAGTTTATCGTGATGTCTTTTGGACTCACAAATGCTCCGGCAGCCTTTATGGATCTAATGAATCGGGTTTTATGGATTTCTTAGATTCATTTGTTATTGTGTTTATCGATGACATCCTGATTTACTCCAAGACTGAGGAGTGTCACGAGGAGCATCTTAGGCAGGTTTTGACTACACTCCAAGAAAATAAGTTGTATGCAAAGTTTTCAAACTGTGAGTTTTGGCTGGATAAAGTGGCTGTCCTAGGTCACATAGTCACCAGAGATGGTATTGCAGTAGACCCCGCCAAGGTAGAGGCTGTTAGCAATTGGCCAAGACCTAGCTCAGTTATAGAGATTCGTAGTTTCCTCGGCTTGGCTGGTTATTACTGGAAGTTCATCCAAAACTTCTCTCGTTTAGCGGCACCGTTGACGCAGTTTACTCGTAAGAATGCTACCTTCACTTAGAGCAGCGAGTGTGAGGATACTTTTAAAGAACTAAAGAAGCGTTTGGTGTCTGCACCGGTGTTAACTGTCCCTGATGGAACGGGAGGTTTGGTGGTTTATAGTGACGCCTCGCGAAAGGGCTTGGGATGTGTTCTGATGCAACATGGGAAGGTTATAGCTTATGCTTCTCGACAGCTGAAGGTGCATGAGCTTAACTACCCCACTCATGACTTAGAGCTAGCAGCAGTGGTTTTCGCCTTAAAGTTATGGAGGCACTACCTTTACGGAGA